CACAGTTACTGCACGGTTACTGCACGGTTACTACACGGTTACAGCACAGTTACAGCACAGTTACGGCACAGTTACTGCACAGTTACTACACAGTTACTGCACAGTTACAGCACAGTTACAGCACAGTTACTGCACAGTTACGACACAGTTACTACACAGTTACTGCACAGTTACTGCACGGTTACTACACGGTTACTACACGGTTACTACACCGTTACAGCACAGTTACAGCACAGTTACAGCACAGTTACGACACAGTTACTACACAGTTACTGCACAGTTACTGCACAGTTACAGCACAGTTACGACACAGTTACTACACAGTTACTACACGGTTACTACACGGTTACTACACCGTTACAGCACAGTTACTGCACAGTTACGGCACAGTTACTACACAGTTACCGCACAGTTACCGCACAGTTACCACACAGTTACTACACAGTTACTGCACGGTTACTGCACGGTTACTACACGGTTACTACACGGTTACAGCACAGTTACGACACAGTTACTGCACGGTTACTACACGGTTACTACACGGTTACAGCACAGTTACAGCACAGTTACGACACAGTTACTGCACAGTTACTACACAGTTACTGCACAGTTACAGCACAGTTACAGCACAGTTACTGCACAGTTACGACACAGTTACTGCACAGTTACTGCACAGTTACAGCACAGTTACAGCACAGTTACGACACAGTTACTGCACAGTTACTGCACAGTTACGGCACAGTTACAGCACAGTTACTGCACAGTTACGGCACAGTTACTGCACAGTTACGGCACAGTTACAGCACCGTTACAGCACAGTTACTACACAGTTACGGCACGGTTACTGCACGGTTACTGCACCGTTACTGCACAGTTACTGCACAGTTACTGCACAGTTACGGCACAGTTACAGCACCGTTACAGCACAGTTACTACACAGTTACGGCACAGTTACTGCACAGTTACTGCACAGTTACGACACAGTTACTACACAGTTAGGAGGGAAGGATTTTTCTGGTTTGATGGATTCCTTTTCTGACTCAAACTGATGAGACAGAGCATCTGGTTTTACATCCTCAGAGCCTCGATGTAAGTGGTGGAAAAGCTAAATCTATTGAAGAGCAGAGACCAACACGGTTGTCTTGACTTTAATCGTTTAGCAGACTGTATGTAGGAGAGGGTTTTATGATCTGTCCATACTGTGAATACCAGTTCGGCCCACTTCAAGCAACGTGGCCACTCTTCTAGCTCGACCCCCGGCAGCTCACGGTCCTGACATCCTTTCTGCTCAGTAGACATTCAATGTTGAGGAAAGAAAGCCCAAAGATGGAGGCGGAGTTTTAATAACACCACGCCTACCCAGGAGTCTGAAGCATCCACTTCCTAAGTAAACTAAAATTTGGGTGTGGTTGGATTAAGATGGGTGTGGAGGTGAACTACTG